CGCCGCGCCGCGCAGCCGCCCGGCACGGCGCTCCCTGCGGGGCCGCTGTGGGGCCCGGTACCGGGCGCGCTGCTCGGGCCGGCGCTCAGGACGCAGCCACCACGCGGTGCCGAAAGGCGGCAGGCGTGCTGACCGCGCCAGGGGAGCCCTTTCTCAACCATACCTTTATATTTCAAAACCTTCCCGCTCAGCCCACCGCCACATCGATAGGCACGAGGTTCCCCGTCACGTTTATAAGCCGTCCCCAAAAGCCTCTCCACCCACTCCCGCAGGGCGGGTACATCTGTGCACACAGGGGGACCTGGACACTGGATGGCTGCCGAGCAGAATCCCAGCCATCCCAAGAGGCCCCCCCTTGGACAGGGATCTGCCTGGGGTTCCCACCATCTGCACGGAAGCTTCTGGAAACAGCACCCCTCTCTCCGCCACCCCCCAGCGCTGTGTGCGCGGCCGTTGGGAGCCATGAGGTGGTGGGTGGCGCTGCTGGCGCTGTGGCCGGCGCTGGGCACCACGGACGGGAAGCGGCCTGTCTTCCCGAGCATCGCGGACAAGGCCTTCATAGAGGAGTGCGTGCGCAGCCACAACGACTACCGCGCCAAGGTGGCGCCGCCCGCCAGCAACATGCGCTACATGGTAGGCAGCGGCGAGGGGGGCTCCGTGGGGCGCCGCGGTGTCCCCACCGCGTGGCCGGCACACATCAATCACTGCTTCATCCTCAAATAGAGGAAATTCCACGAAAGAATTCCATTAGACACAACATGCGTTAGGATGTGACCGGAGAGGCAAGTGCAAGAGGTTCGCGTTAGCGGTATTGATACAGGCAGCAAAAGGGTTAAGGATAGCAGAAGCCCAGTGAAAACAACCATGAGTGGAACCCCAGTGGTGAAGGTCTTGCCCGTGCAGGAGTTAAAAGTTGTGTGATGGAGCCATCCTGCAAAGGAAAACGAGGCAGTAGAGTGAGTTACTGGACAAACATTGACATATTTGCGCCATGAAGCAGTCACGTTGATATGAACCAACCCGGCCAGAGGCCCTTTTTTAAAAATATTTAAAATATATATATCTGAATTTACATTCTTTGGCTTGATGTTTATGTAGATAAAAGAAATCCTTCTTCTATTTCAAAGAAAAAATATAACAAAGTAATAATGTTAAAAATAGTATGATTAGCAAAGTCTACTTAATGTAAATGAAAGTAACTTCTTACCTGAAGATAAAAATGCATTCTAAACACTTTTTCACTTGCTAGCAAGTGCTCTTATGATGTTTGTTTTTGACAGTAAAGGAGAAAAAATAAGATTTTTAGTTGAGTCAGTCTGTTTTTCTGTCTTGCAATAGGAAAAATCATTGAAAATAAAACACAAGTACTTGCCTAAATAACAGAAAGATTGTTCTTATGTAATTCCAGTTTATGATGCCTTGGTTCTATTTTCAATATATAATGTCAATATATAATGTCTATAATGTTCTGTTGATTGCAGAGAGGTGGGGGTCGATCTCTTCTGCAGAAGAACTGCAGACAGGAGAAGAGGAAATGGCCTCAGGTTGCACCTGGGGAGGTTCAGATTAGACATTGGGAAGAATTTCTACACGGAAAGAGTGATGAAACATTGGAACAGGCTGCCCAGGGAAGTGGTGGAGTCACCATCCCTGGCAGCATTCAAGAAATGTGTGGATGAAGCACTTAGGGATACGGGTTAGCAGGCAGGGGTTTGCAGTTCAAGTCGATGTTCTTGAAGGTCTTTCCCAGCCATTATGATTCTATGATTCACATTGCACAACTATTTCAAATTTTGTGTTTTTCAGACTTGGGATGCAGCCTTGGCAAGGACTGCCAGAGCATGGGCTCATAAATGCCGTTTTGAACATAATGTTTACTTAGAAAAGAAATACCAGTGCCATCCTAATTTTACAACTCTTGGAGAGAATATTTGGGTTGGAAGTCATCATATATTCACTCCCACTGGTGCCGTTAGATCATGGTATAATGAGGTCAATTTCTACACTTTTGAGACGCGCAAATGTACAAAGATATGCGGTCATTACACTCAGGTAAGGGCCATGTGTGGTGGAATATTCTCTATAGTTCATAGGAGAGTGCATACCAGATAAAACAGCGAGGCTGTAAATAACAGAGCTGTATATAAGGTTTACAGCAAATGCCAGTTTACTGTCTCTTTCTTGGCATCTCAGGCTATAGCTATACTGCAAGGTGCCCCTGCACTGGTTAATTTTATTGCTTTTATTGCAATATTATCCTCACTGAAAATATCCCTATACATTTCATAGCATAAGCTTTGCATGAACACTGTTAAATTGTGCCTAGGTCGACAGCCAGATACCCATGTAGTTTTGAATTCTGTAAGTTCAAAGATGTTCTTTGAAAGAATCATAGTAACTGCAGAATGGCTGTGAGAACTCAGTAGAAATATTAAGAGAAGGAGACAACAGGAACTAAGAAACAAGCCGAGTACAGGAGTTAAGCATTAATGAAAATACAAAAGTAACTACTGCATCAGAATTGATAGGCAAAGACCCTGCATGATGCAGGAGCCATCATAGACTTGCAGGCTCAAACTTGAAACTGAGTAGTAATTACAAACCATAGATAGGTCATGTAAAGCTGCTGATGGAATAGCAACAGAAATCTCAACAGAAATAGGTAAAAAAACATGTGAAACTGCTACACAGAGGCCTGTGAAATGCTCAGTCCTTGCTCAAGGACCCAGGTAACACATTATTAAACATTAACATCTTTTTACTAAAGAAAATTGCATTGCAACATCAGTGCTTTGTGTTGAAGGGATGGAAATATAGAGACTGTTCAAGTCACTTTGATAGAACTGTATTCTCTGTGGTGGGAAAATTCTGAGGTTAATCCATTACACCTTCCAGTTCCCCAACTATATGATCATCCAGATCTTCTAGATATGTAGTCCAGCAGTTTTTAGATGGCTTGAGTACGGTTTAGTTGGTCACGTGCAGAAGGTGTACAAAGAATCTCCAGCAATAAGCACAGGATGTTCAAATGAGAACAGAGACAGTAAGAGATAGTAAACCATGTTTTTTTGGTTTTTTTTTTTTTTTCATTATGGAAGATACCTCTGAAAGCTTTAGCACTGCACAGCTTTCAGACTAACCTGTGCTAAATTTGCTGTTGTAGTCAGCCAGAACACTTATCTCAAACAGAAGAATCCCTACTTGGGAGTCCTGAGTTGAAACTAAACTGTTTGAAAGTTGCCACTAATTCCCTTTTCTTCTCTTGGGAAAAAAAAACACATGGATCATGAAACCAGTGACTCACTGAAATTCTGGAGGTGACTGGAAATTTGCAGAATTTGCTCGCTTAATCTTGAAATTTGAATAAATACAGAATATAATAGATAATAGAATAAAGGTTTGAAGCTTGCAGTGTGAATATTCAGAAGTTCATCTTAAAAAGCTTGCATACAAGTGGGTATTCTCTGAGCAATTCTCTGTGGGTAAACAGATCACGGGTTGCAAAAGAAAAACAATATGTAGGATCCATGAAAATAATTGAAATTATCTAGATATTCCAACATGTTAGCATTGAGTACAGTTTTCATTTTATTTTAAAAACTTTTCTTTAGGTTGTTTGGGACAATTCCTATAAAGTAGGCTGTGCTGTTGTTTTTTGTAACAAAGCTGGAGGAATAAAGAATGCAGCACTTTTTGTCTGTGACTATGCGCCAGGGTAAGTTGTTATTTTAAATATTAACAAGATGAAAACAACTGTAATAACTTCTAGCTGGAAATAAATTAGGCTCCCCATTTATTGCTAGCATTGTAAATGCTGTCAGAGAAAATGATGCTCGGCTACTTCAGTGGTTGGTTGGTTCAGTTACTGCCAGCAGTTATTTGGATAAATGGCCGTTTTGAGAATGTCACCAGGGTAAGCCCTGCAGGCTCTTCTTTGCACTTGAACACTCAGTCTTCAGTAAACACACATGGATCTCACTGTCTTTATTAAGGCCGAATCAAGGTCTTGTCTCTCAAGATTATAGCTCAATGATAACTAGATCACCAGTTTTTTTGTTTCTGGCTGAATAAGTTGTTTTAAGCTATTTTAGAAGTGCCAGCTTTAAAATTTTACACTTTCAAATCCCTTTTATTTTACCTCCACTATTTAAAACCAGCTCCATCCAGAGTATTCTTTTTTTTTTCAATACATTTATCAATATAAAGTTTGAATACAAACAACAGATTTTCCTTTAAGAAAAACAACACTTTTTGAGACTGTTTTCAGTATCAGAGATGGAACGATGAAAAGAGAGATTTGAAAATTATGCTAAGGTTTTTAATGAATTGTCAGCAACTTATGGTATTTTCAATATATTTTTTCAGTAAATGATTTATTTAAAATTATGAATAAGGCAACTCATCTCATAGAAACTTTTATTTTTCCTCTGTAGTGGTAATTTTCCAAGAAGGCCTTATACAAAAGGAGCACCGTGCAGTAAGTGCGCAAAAGAGGACACCTGTGAAAATAAATTGTGTAGTAAGTACAAGCAAATGTAAAATATAATATCTAAGTCAGCCACTACTTGATAAAGAATGTTGTAAACTATTTACAGTACTGTTGCTCTCTCGTGTCCTAATTCACAAGCAATTTAAAGATACTCTTTAAAGCCATTTGTGTTCAAAAAATACATTTTTTTTGGGGGTTCAAAAAAACCATATTTTACTGAGTCTGGGCCTTGGTGATCATTAAAAAGTCTGCCTTTGATGCCAAGTGTATATAATTAATGTATATAATATATATAATTAATTATTGTAATTAAATGCATTATTTATTTTAAAAAGTAATGCTCATGACTTTCATCTAACAGCTAGTTACTAATTTTGGTTATTATATATGGTAGTATAATTTAGAAACAGAGTCTTAACTTTTGGGTACCAGACACCTCTGAAATAGAAAGGCTACCAGGTTATACTTGAGCACAGAATTAGGTGCCACTTGAGAATCAGTTTGTCTTCCTTTATCATCCATAAAATTGCATTTGTACTATTTTCTAGTTTATACGTATATTCTGAATATAATATTTCTTATTTTGAGAAAGATGAAGGACAATTCCAATGGAAATTAAAAAGACACTGTAGTAGGTCCCTGTCCTCCATTATCATTATTGTTATAAGCAATAATACCTTTATGGAGATATTAATATATTATAAAATACTGTTGTACTTTACAGCTTTTTCTTGCAAAGTACTGTACATTTTTGCCTTTGTTTTATTTTTTAAGATTTATCATTGAGAATTCTGAGAGTTTTTCAGATTTTCTTGATTGTAAATTTGATTAATCTGCTTTAGTTAACTAGTAAAGATAAACAGAAAGAAATTAAAGCTAGCTGATAGAACTGTTCCTTTTTCTTCTTTTTTTTTTCCAGGAAATCCTCAACGTGATAAAATTATCCGTACGTATTATATTATTAGACTGTTATTTAAATTGCCTACTTACTATAGATAGGTTTAGTTACAGTAAGACTTGTGTTTGTATGCTTATTTATAGATTATCCGAGATGGCATCCCCCGTGGGAGTTCAGGATTGTATGTGATGAGGCTTGTATTGCAGTTGCAGTTGTGAGACCGTCAGTGATGTTTCTTGCTTTTATAGCTGCTTATTTTATAAAAAAGCGCTTTGTAAACATGCATATGTCCACGTAACTCCATTTGAAATACATACTATCTCCTCAGTAAAATCTTTAGTGAATTGAGCAAACAAGTCGTACTAACATGGCTTTAAAGACAACTTTCTTTGACAATAATTTGCTGCTTCTTAGAACATGATAACAAGCTATGAAAATATTTGTGGGAAAAAGTCTCCCTGGGAAAATTTAAGATGGCATCTAGTAAGATTTGGAACAGTATCAAATTTACGAAAAATGTGTCTTATTTTACTTATAGAATTCAAAGAGAAAAATATATGTCAATTAAACAGTTTTTAGACTTCACGCTAAGCTAATATTTAAAGTGGCCATTGCTTAATTTAGACACAAAAAAAAGTATCATACTATATATTCAGTGCTGTTTTCATAAAACAAAAGAATATTCTGAATAAAAAGCAAAAATAAGATTCTCTAGCAAGACAGTATTTTAGAAATCTTTGTGTTTGTGAAGCTAGTACAACTTAATATTTATAAACTAATTGTAATATTAATTTATAAATTAATTGTAATACTGTTCCTTATTCAAAATGAAAGGTTTCACATTTATTATTAACTATTTTGTTCCTAACTCCCTCTGAAGACAAAAAGTTAATCAAAAGGTTGAAATCGTAATAGATTCATTTGAAACTTTGCATTTTCCTTGTTTTAACATGTACTGTTACTTGAGCATATTGTGGTTTTAGCATAGTGTATTTCTGGCTTTGTAAATGTTCTGAAATTTCAATAATAAATTTTATTTATAAAGTTATTTGGCTCTCTTTAATCAATATGGATTTTGCTGCTCTATATCCAAAATATCAAGTAATTCATTAATATGCTTTAATTTCACTTCCACCAAAAGACAGATAATAGTTATACAAGAATTTTAAGTTATTCTCCTTTTAATATAATAAACTATATTTTTTCATGGTTATAGATGAAGTAGAGTGATAACAATTTAAAATATCTCCAAAAAGCTTATGACTTTTTTAGTCTTAAACGGTAAATGTCCATATCATTTACTATATTACTGTTGAAGTGCAGTTATTACTGGGTAAAGTTTCACTGTTACTGAAAGCAAACTAATATCCTCCTGTGCCAAATCCCATCATTAACTTAATGTTCTGAACTGAAATTGATTTTTCAGAAAGTTTCCAGGAGTTCAACTTTCAGAAATAACATTTCTCATATTTCTTTTTTGTTCTAGATATGTGTGTGAAATTTTAAGTCTAAACATGGATATATGTTATGTAAAGCTGTATGATACTTACAGTGATTATGTAAAAAGAATATCTTTTCTTACTATAGAAGGTTCTCAAAGAAAATAAACTAGAATTTTTATTGTAGATAAAGTTGAAAACAATGATTAGACATGAGTGCTAGCTGTTTCTTCAGATTGCCTGTTCTACAATTACTACAATACAGCCCAAACTTTTCAAATACAAGCTTTATTTTTTAAAGCCTAGATTACATTCTCAAATCCAGAAGTCTAAAATTACACACCTAAATCCATAACTGGGCAGCTCCTACATACCAGCTTGCCCTGCACGCAAGTTCTTGAGCACCAGCTGTTCTCACTTGTCCCATTCTTGTGACTGAATCCTACATTAGGGCAAACTGAAGAAACAGAGGCTTTATACTTCCAGCCACTCTAATCTGAAAGCAGAAGGGAAGACGTGAGAAAAGTGGGTGTAAACATGAGAATTTTCTCAAAATCTTACACAGCTTCATGCCTATTCTTACCTAATCGTACTAGATTTCACTTGAGACTCTTGCAGCGACAGGCAAGTTTTGCGTTGTCTTGTCAAATGTTAGGCAGATAGGCAAATTTTAAGGCTCCATTTTGCCAGGTTTACAAGAAAGCCTGATTATGGCTGGCAAAAAAAAAAAAAAATGTTTATTTTTTTTTGTGAAGATCTTGAGGGTGGATTGCGCATCTTTAGACACAGAGAGAATCACTAGATGGAGCTAGAGTCTAGCTCTGCAGAAAAGCATCGGAGCTTGGAGAGGGCATGGGGAGCTTTCTGCCTCACAAAAGTCTCAAGTAAGTTTCCAAAAAAATGGTTTTTTTTTTTTTTTTTCCTGTACTAATAAAAAAGTGCCAGACTGCTGGATTATTAAATGAATCATCATAATTAGGACTGCTACATTCCCTCCCGCACACACTGTCCTCCTGGGCTCACCTATGTGATTCCTTGCAGGCTTCTGGGGAGCACAGATATGGTGGAAATGAGAGTCCTGGCAGGCCAGGAGGCAGCTGAGGGGAAAACCCACATCCTGGGATTGACAGGAAGAAGGTTACATCAGCCATACATACATACATCATGTATCCCTCCTATAGCTGACCCTATCTTCCTGATACTGGTCAAGGAATTGTGGCAGAACTAAGAGGAAAATGACAAGAAAATCATTCAGTCAGCTGTACACATGTGCACAAAGAAATACTTGGTTATAAGCCTCCTGTTTATAGCACAGACATAGCTGTGAGCGTGTTGAGGGGCTACAGCCCTTTCTGAGATGTCACAGATCTTCATAAATTCTCTGAGACAAAACAAAAGTATCATTTAAGCGGGATAAAAAGTTACCAAGCAACCAGGAAAGGCAACACCAGAACAATCATTTCCACAGGTGTTTGGCATGGTGAGGCCTGCCCTGAAAACGATCAGGGAGTCAGAACCATGAATGCTACTTGCAGTCTTCCACAAATTTTCTCTTTAAACTTACCTAAATCTTAGCTACAGACCTTTGTTCTCCAACTGGGTGGCTGTTCTAATGCTTTTTTGAGTTTGCACAATTTGTTTTAGGTTTGAAAAATAAAAAAAAAAAAATGTAGAACGGTCAACAAACCATACAAATCCCAACACAGTCTATGCCTATAGTCTCAGGAAATTATAAATTATCAGTCTTGGAATTTTACAATAGGACAGTTCATGCTGGTAGTGTCTCTCTTTCTGGGAGCACAGAAAGCTCTTGCAATAATTTTAGGCTACCAACACTTACAGTGCTTCATAAAGAATGAAGTCAACACATATTCACAGTTGAGGTTTCTAAATGACACTTACGCTGCACAACAAACCAGAAGGCCATCGGGTCTGTTCCACAGAAGGTGTGGAATGTGTTTTCAGCTGGTGAAGTTAAATTTCAATATATGCAGTTTCTCTAATTCTGTTTACTCTTAGAGCACTTCTGAAATGGAGGAAAGGTCCCGTAAAATAGTCAACTCAGCACAGAATTGTATTTTGTCAAAGCTAATATTTTCATGATTGACACATGTTAGGAAAGTTGTACTGCAGTATGTCTTAAGATAGACCTCCAATTCCAGCATTCCTTAGCAAATAACCGAATGGATCAGGCTCAAACAAAAGGCAAAGGTTTGCCTCTGTGTGACTGTGGTGATGTGCATGGCAGATGCCTGTTTCGGTGTATCCCGTGCCAGTGACGGTCAAAACAATCACCTAGTGAAGCAATTTCACTTCCTGCTGCTTTCAAAATTTCAAGTGTTTCCCCATCTAGAGGACAAACACCCTGAAGACCTGCTTGCCAGTTTTATCACCAGCTAAGAGCTTTTTTCTTCTAAAAACACAAAAGATCCCAAGAGCACCGAGAAATTATGAAAATCCCATTGTTCTGTGCTGCTTTGTTCTTCTTGGATCTCCTCGTTGGCTGCAACGCTTACGCACAGGATCCCTTGCCTGACATAGTGGATGCTAAATTTATTAAAGACTGTGTGAGAGCTCACAACGGCTTCCGATCCAAGGTGAACCCCCCAGCCAGCAATATGCTCCGCATGGTAAGGCGCTGTTTGCCATCAGCTTGGGAATTTGCATTGATTGTGCTGCTAAAGTAATCCATCTTCTCGATTCGATTTGTGCTTTTCTTTCTGTCAGTAATTTCATTACTACATTTGGTGGTTCTTTGAAGAAAATAGAATACAAAAAGTAATTTTCACAGCTTTGTTCAGTCTTACTAATTTGAAGGGATTTCTTTCTTTAGGGTTGGGTTGCTCTGCTAACCTTTAGCCAGCCTTGCTGTATTGTAAAAATATGTTATTTGTCTCTCAGTATTTAATTTACCACTTTTTAAAAGTTACAGTAACTTTCCTTAATTTACTTCATGTTTCATGACACAGGGAGGCTGTTTGGTATTAAAAAGCCCTAGAAGAGTCAATATGCATGACAGGATTTCCTAGGGAGATGCCAGGATCTCCTCATATTTCTTCCAATCCAAAACACATGTTCTAAAAATTTTTCAGTTTTGGTTTTGCCAGGGTGTGCATACAGACATCTGACATCACTTGATATAATGTGGTTTGGAGAATATGGGTACTAATATTTGGCCTGGAAAACAGAGCTTCATATATATATATATGTATATATGTATATATGTATATATGTATATATGTATATATGTATATATGTATATATGTATATATGTATATTTATATATTTATATATTTATATATTTATATATTTATATATTTATATATTTATATAAAACAGATATTGGAGCAGAACATGGGTAGCTTTCAGCTTATTCAGCAGCATATGTTAGTGAGAGATAGATGCGATAAGGAGGTAACCCTTGCCAGGATATGCCATTACTTTGAGCCCTGCAGCTCTGCTGTTTAGCTGGAAAGGAAGTTAAATGCGTAACCACAGGAACGATATGGGTCACTTCTCTGAAAGGAAATTCATAAGAAAGATCTAAATCTCAGACTACATGTAATACTAATTTCTTACCATTTACCTGTGTTTAACTAAGAATAATAGAGCAGAAGAACAAACCTATGTGGTCAGACCAAAGATTCACCAAGTCTACCGTGAGCAAGACAAACATACAAGAACTTCTTGGATCTAAGTGGTTGCATTACATTTAAAAGCTTTGGATGATGGTTTTTTTCTGTATGATTCTTGTCAAACTTGAGCTGAAAAAAAATCAATTTTTTACTATTCCCACATCATATAGCAAATATCTGCTTAAAGGTGTTTGAATTCAACTGGATCACTGCAGTGCAGGTTACGTTTTGCTTTCTTCTCATCCCACAGTCCTGGGACCCTGCTTTAGCTAAGACTGCCAAGGCATGGGCAAAGAAGTGCCAGTTTAGGCACAATATCTACCTTAAAATTCCAGGGAAGGTGCATCCCACCTTTACACCCGTTGGAGAAAACATCTGGACCGGCACGGCCACCATCTTTTCTGTGGACGTAGCTCTCAGTGACTGGTTCAATGAAGTTGAGAGCTACGATTTTGATACCAACGACTGTTCGGGCCAGTGTGGTCACTACACCCAGGTGAGTCTCACTTGTCCAGAGGTTTATAACCTACCAATTTCACAGGGTCAAAGTGTAGGCTTAGATCAAACAGAAATTACAACAGGAATTTCTTTTTCCTGTTTTAGTGCTGAATGAGATTGTAAATAGAAAATCCTGAGCAGCAGGGCCCTCTTCTGGGCCCTCTTCTCACCATGGAAAAGGATTATCCACCTGGCAATTTCATACTGATATCATCTTTCAACCTTATAATTTAAACACAAACACCAGTATTAGCACCTTGCTCCTTACCACAAGACATGTCTGTGCCAGGCTGGGATGTGCTCTTGGGTCCTACCACATACACAGAAGCTTTCATGAGTCTGTGCTTATACAGGTACCAAGACTAGGTATTTTTCAGAGCAAAAGTACCTTCTAGAGAAAACAGGAGCATGCTTGTAGGTCACCGTGAGAGACTTCAGTTTTAAGAGACTTTATGTTTTCTCTTTTTCATTAAATATAATATTTATTTGAAAGACTTTTAAATGGTCAAAGAAGTCTCCAGGAGATAAATGTGTCCTGATTGTACCAGCATCTCGGTAGCATGCAGCACAAGTGGGCAGTGCTTGCCCTGGAGGTAGGATGCTGATTACCAAGCTTGCTCAAAATTACGTAGCTTTGGCCATTAAAAACCCACACATATATATAGCCAGATATTAGAAGTTGAGAAAGCAGTATCTTGCATCTTTTATTTTAATAAGGCTGTGAATATGTCACCTATTTTCATTTTTTCAGGGGAACCTGAGTTAGTGCAAAAAAAATCAGTTAATCATTTGCCTCAGCTTCCCTTTAGGCTTCTGCTGCTGTTTCTGTGCTGGCTGTTTTATACTCCCACAAGAGCCCTTCGCTTCCTCCCTCAATCCCGTGAATCCCAGGAGCTTTTTCAGTCCTTCAGCGGGCATGTCACATACCTCACTTTGCCTTTCAGGTTGTGTGGGCCACAAGTTACAAGGTTGGCTGTGCTGTGCACTTCTGTAACACAGTTCAATATTTTCCAGGACTCTTCAAAGCAGCACATTTTGTTTGTAACTATGGACCAGCGTAAGTCAGTTACGACGTTTGGATTTTTCATTATTTTTAAGACATCCTCTAACTGGTCTGAAATCAGATGTTGCCAATAGTGGGATGAGTCTTAACAAACTACATAAAAAAAATACAACTGGTTAAGAGGAAGTTCCCCAAGCTGTTTAAAGCAGAGGCTGCTGCCCTCAGCCTTCACTGCAGACTAGTAGCAAGAGTGGTGGAATTGTGTCTGTTTTGACTTCAGCCTCTGCAGGAAAATGGTTGGACTTGAGGATCTTCAAGGTCTTTTCTAACTGTAATGATTCTATTAAAAGATGAAAAAGTTCAAACTTTTCATTTGACAAATAGTCCACCTCTCTACAGCCCTCCCTAGACTTCAAAACTAGGTATTTTAAATAAAGATGTAAAAGGAAGACAGTCTTCTAGTTTATCCTATGCATTGCAATTTCTGGATATAGATTTTACCGATTCTGGGTTGTTGTTCTTTTTAGCATGAGGGTAATGAGGGACTAGGTACAGATCCCTGAACCCTCTGCAGAGTGGTACATTGTTCCTCACAAGGTCTGATCACTGTCAATGGTCACCACGTAGCTGCTCCCCACGTGAGCGAGAGCTTCATTCTGACCCCGAAGCAGTTTAAAACTACCGTAAGGATTGTTTTGCTGCTAAAGCTGTTTTTCCTCCACAATAACTCCCCATCATGAACTATTCTAACAGCTTGATGAAACAGTGTATTTAAATTGCTTTTCAAAAAAGAATGAGATAACAAAATATGGTTCTTCTGCTTTTCAGGGGAAATTACCCAACAAAACCTTATAAAGTAGGACAGTCATGCAGTGGATGCAGTAATGACAAGTGTGGAAACAATCTCTGTGGTAAGACTAAAGAAAAAAAAGGAAATTACTGATAAATAAAAGTACTGTAATTCTCAATGGAAATATAGTTGTGAGTCAATTTGCACTACATACATAGCGGATCTGTAGCCCACCAAAAAAGCAAGAGCATCAAACACTGGCAAAAAGAGCATCAAAAAAGTAATTGGAATACTTTGCTCTTTAAGGCCCTCAGTTACAGAAACAAGAGTTTCCAGTGGAAAGATAAATCATTTCAATCACTTTACACCTCTTTATCTGATCAGAAAGGTAAGTTTAAAACATTATCCTCAACAAATATTCAAATATTTAAATATATTCAAATACTCTAATATATTCAAATATATATTGTATAAAAAGAGTGTATTTAACTTTGCTTTCTAGCTTTGTTTAATATTTCCTGTCACATTCCCAGAAAACTATAGACTTCTGAGCGAGCAACTGAAAAACACATCTATTTCTAACATGTGTGATTTTCTGAAATACAGCAATAAGAGCCTGTTTTTGCACAATAGTTTGCAGCACTGGATATTTTTGGATTACACTAGTTCCAAATTAGAGTCAGAAGTAGCATTTTAAACGAATGGCATACAACTGACCTGCAACAATGTGAATATCATAAAGCTTTTTAGAGAAGGTCCCTCCTAGCCACCACCCAGGTAGATTCATCTGTAGAAACAAAAGAACATTTGGTATTTCTATTTCCTTCCTGGCTGAAGCACAGACTGATGCATCATAGGACAACCACAAACCTCGCAGACTGCGAGGGAGGATGAGAGCTTTTAAGAATGACATGATAGTTCCTGGAAGCAGCTCTACCATAAGGTCCCTTAGGGCAAGTCAGTAATTCCTGCAGGCTGCACACAGAAAGCCATGCAAATGCACCACAGCTCTCAACAAGGTGTGATAAATTTTGTACTTGGTGAGATTTGTCCATCTGTAACTGCTTCATTTAAATTAATTTTGTGTTTAATTAAAAAAAGAATCCTAGGTTTCATTTTTATTTGCTATTGCTCCCTCCCCATGATACAAATTCTTCCTAAAGCAGATGTTTCCTTTCTGCTTCTCTTATAATTCCATAAAATAATATTAGGCCCACCTAAGTGCTGGGAACCCGCTCTTGTTGACTTAGTTCCTGTCTTGTGGGATGTGTTCAACACTGACTGGCACTGAAGGCGCCCTCGTCCAGGCAGCAGCAATGGCTCACCTATTTTCATAAATAGCCATTTATGAATGCTTAGTGAATTGATAATTAATTAATGAATGATAATTAATGAATGATAATTAATGAATGATAATTAATGGATGGTACTTACCATTGCTTTCTTTCCTGATCTCTCAACAGAAAACGTAGAACGCGAGAAACTGCTAAGTACGTATCAGGTTTTCCTCCTCCCTTTCCCCCAAGTCCAGGTGCATCTGGTGGGTTTTAGCGGCTGTTCCCATGCTGTTTTTCAGGCTATGCCAGCTGGCAGCCGGACTGGGACACAGCGCCGCAGCCGCCGCGGCCCCCGCGGCCACGGCCCCCGGGGCCGCCTGCCCCTCGGCCGCCTCCCGCGCCGCAGCCCCGTCCCTCCTGTGACGGCTACTGCCTCAGCGTCGCGGTGCTGAGGCCCTTGCTCCTGGTGCTCAGTGTTGGTGCAGCTCTTCTAGTACAACAGCGGTATCCCCACACGTTTATATATGCGTAAGGCACTGATAGTTACCCCGCGGCCCCATCGCTGGGAGAGGATTGCACGCAGCTGGAAAACACTCGTGGTCGTCTCTCGCTGCCATCCCGGTGATGTTTGTGCAGCACAGAGAAGGCTGTTTTTGTACTCAAGGCAAGATTCAAGGGGCTGTGCAGTGGCTAAAGCTAGAAGAACTTACTAGTATGGCCATGCCTGTAGCCCATGTTAATGCCTAAAAGAGTTTCTGAGATCTGGCCCAGATAATGGAGATGTGTTTAGCAGTATTTACTGAAGATTTATGAAGATTAAAGATTAAAGTTCGTCCTATGCTTAATTTTGCCTTTGTGTATCAATTTCCATTAAAGTTACTCTATTACTACCAGTCTTAATATTCTGTTCTTCTCCCCTCAGGGTTAAGCTTTGTCCTCCATAGCTAGAAGGGTATTGAGGAAGGCAAACATGCTGTTGAGGAAGGTTAATAGAGCAAAGACTGAGATGGGCTGTCTGGGAACAGCTGAGTTTTAGGATATGAGATGATGAAAATATCTGAAGGTGTAGAGCTAAAGCAGGAGGGAAGAGAGTCAACCTGAGCCTGCGGGCAGAGGGGGAGAAAATGAAGATGTCAGTGAGGATGAAAGGGGCCCAGGAGAGTCTCTTTCAGAAATGAAGACCTCAGCCTTGCTGAGACAGCCCAAATGACTGACGTATCCAGTTTGTATTCCAGCCTGTTCAGCCCCCAGCCGCCTTTTATCTATGTATAGTTTATAGTTCATTTGTGAATCAAGGTAAACAAACCCATATTTCAAGCTGAGATAGACTGTATGAAATCAGTAGTGCTTAGCTGAGCTTTCAATATTTAAAGCTGTGTCTTCTCCTTTATCTTAGTCCTATGTTTTGAGCCCGCAGTGAGTCAGATCCCGAACTGCTCTGCAGCTCAGGGCGAGCATAGGATTCAACAGAATAAATACAGTCCCTAGGGGTTCAGACTCTTGTTATGTGCTACAGAATGTCACCATGCAACAAGACAGATACTTTCACCACTGTCAGTTCTTGTCCATCACAATCTTTAATGTTTAGAGATAAATAAAGATTTAAATGCTTTAACGGGAGGCCAGAGGAGGGTGATGGAGGTGGTGGGTCTGGGCAGGAGGGGCTGGGTACCTGAAGCACCACAAGTGGGAGGTCAGCAGGGGACTCAGGGTTGTGCAGAGCTGGGTACCCCAACATTTGGCCACACCAAGACCCGCTGCACCCGGCTCCATGGGCCTGGAATCAGTGGGAATCATTACTAATTGTTAGGACTCCGGAGGGGAAACCGATACTCACAATCAGCCCTGACTGCAGCATGTTTGACTTGCAGTCCTTTGCCAATCTTATCCCTCCCAAAAACGCAAAGGAAATTACAGAAAATTCATGGTTCAGCTAAATAGATTTGTCACAAAATTCCGGTTCAGAGTAATGGTTTCAACAATAACATTATTTTTATTTAAAAAAAAAAAAGAAAAAAGCAGGAAACCAAAACTTCGTTGCAACCCATAGCAAATGCATTAAGAAAAAAAGATGTAGGGGCAAAAAGAAAACAAAAAAGAGAAAAAAAAATCCCAGGGGTCAAAGTACAGGAGAGTGGCGGCTTGCCCACCACTGTAAGTTTCCAAAATTAAAAAAAAAAAAAGAAAAAAAAAAGAAAAGAAAAATGAAGAAAGGAGAAAAAAAAGAAGAGAAAGAAAAAGCTCCTGTAGCTCTGGCCAACCCAGAGCTTAATTTCCCTATTCTCATAGCAACACTGCTGAAAATGACTCATTTCCTGACACAAATACCATATCGAGTTACCAAGGACCGAGATAAAGTCCAGCCCACAAGCCTTCCAAGCAGACGCTGTCTGCACAGCTAAAAGCACCTTATACAGCCGAACTCCTATACTGCTTTTAAAGCCGAAGATGAGAGGCTGAGAACCATGGCAAGCAGACCTTTTACTCACGTGCTGGCCTTGCTGCACTTCTGTTCTTCCTACGGCTCCTATGGACCATCTACACTGCCTGATATTGGAGACCCAACGTTTATCAATGAGTGTGTGAGCACCCACAACCGGTTCCGCTCTGAAGTGATTCCAGCAGCTAGCAACATGCTTTACATGGTAAGGGACCATCACGACTGACGTGCAAGTAGGTGACATTGCTCTGCTGCTTACAAGTCTCAGAAATGATCTTGTAATTATCGGCTGCAGAAGAAAAAGAGGGGAGGGCCATAACTGCAATTTTTTTAAGGCAGACGATAAGACTGTGAGTATCAGACAGGTTGGTGCAGTAAATGTATAGTTTTGTGCGTAGTTTTGCATTGCTTAATTACTAAATTCTGAAACTCAAGGTTTCAACCTACAACCTTACACTGTAGCTTTGTGCTGTGAAAAGCATCCTTGTTCCCAGCCACTTGTTCAGCCGTCCGGGGTGTAGTTTCGATGCAGACCAAAGCACAACCTTTCACATTCCAAGTGGTGAGGCCATAGGAGACTGCCAAATCCTTTGCATAGCTTTCTTTTACACTTCTCTGCGGGGCTCTCATGGCCAGGGAACCAAAAGAGAATTATTAACAGCTGCTCCCAAGCACAGGCGCTGCAGAGGGCTCAAAAGGAAAGCGGAACAAGTGCAGCAGAAATGAGTGCTGAGACATTCACTCACACAACATTTTGCCTTTCTGCTTTCTCACTTCTCACTAGCATGGTATCTACAAGCACAACGCACACACACATATATATATACACACATAAGATACATGCAATATATAATATTCTCTCTTAACATCCCACATGATCACCACCAGAAGAGAACATAACCATATTCACAATTAGCAAGACTCCAGAGTATTTTTTTTTTTAAAGCCCATTTTCTATTTCTTGTGGTCATTCTCTAACAAAGGAAGTGGCCATTCACTTACTTCTAATTTCAGATTTCTTCAACTAGGCATTAAGAATTATATCCAGTGTGATTCAGAGCTGCAAGTGCATATTTCAGAGTTCCAGACTCTAGATAGAGATAGATTTCCAGACTCTACAGAGATTATTTTATTGTCCTTTCACTAGGAAGATCTTACTACATTTTACTGAGGGTAGCATTCATCTTACAGTAATTTTCATATTATAGTAATTTTCATTCATATTATAGTAATTTTATGCCTGATTGTTCCTCTTAAAAAGCTTGAAATTCCTCCTCCTAAAAAATGTATAAATTAAAAGGTTATTGCAACTAATGCAAGAATGCAGTAACTTTCATATTCGTCATTTCCTAGTCTTAAGTATGAGTTCTCCCCGGAAACTGTCAATGTGAAGAAAGCAGTAGGATGAATGACAACATCTATTACCAAAGTAAAAGTATTGGAATTGAAAACAGCTTATTTATTAATTTTTAAATGGCTTTCAGCACTTTGAAAATGAGGAAATAAGATGGTTTCTTTATGTCACAGGGAATTTCATTTTACTGAAGGTAATTGTCTGTTTGGATATTTAAAAATGAAGAGTGTGAACTCAAGGAATTTCTGTCATTGGAAAAGCATTTTTTTAAGAAAATTGAGATTGCAAGTATCAACACACAACCAGCAATATTTGTAACACTTTGTTAAAAATTAAGCATGCCGATTAGCACTTTTTTATATGACTAATGTGACCCCTCTTTTCTGTTCAATACTACATATTCTCCTAAATTGCTTTTAGGTCTGAACCAAAGCTCTGCAAAATGAGCCTTGCATTACTATTCAGCAGTCAAGTGACTTATTTTCCTTCCTTAAATGAAAGAACAGCTCATCCTAGCTGCAGAATTAGCTCTGAAAGACACATGGTGGAAAAAAACACGCAATTATTTTTTTCCCAAACAGCTATGATATTTGTATGAAAGCCTCCATGTCTTGTGCATTTTCCCCCCATAATAACCCCCAAGTTATTATTTTTGTATAAATGCAGTTTCACAAACAAAATTAGCTTTATGAGTCTAGTTAAACTATCAATCAGACATAACAATGTAAATATAAATACTTGCACATACTTCAGTAGCTGATTTGTTCAAGCAAGTTCACACACACACAAAAAAGTATCTTGAAACTGAATTACCATTAATACTGCTATATCAGTATTATTAATACTATTACATAACCACAGACTCACAGGATGACTGAGGTTGGAAGGGAGTTCTGGAGATCATCTAGTCCAACCTCCCTGCATCAGCAAGGTCACCTAGAGCGTGTTGTCCAGGATTGTGTCCAGGAGGCTTTTGAATATCTCCAAGAAAGGAGGGACAACGCCTACAGTACAAACAGAGACACTCCTCTAACCCTATACAATTGAAACAGGCAAGCGAATGAGTGATTGCCCAAATACAAATTCAGCTCTAACATTTGGAGTCACAAAGCACAAAGGGTTGAGCTTAAATGGCTCTCAAAATCCCAACATGCTTGTGAATACTCCACGTGATTGATTTACACATCTCTCTATTCAACAGACCAACTCACCAGGATCACCCACTCCTTCAAAAACTCCCTTATGTTTAATGAGCAGCTAAACACAAATCGGAATTGAATCCATAAGATGATGTAGCATAGGGTTCTGTAAGTCTCAGCAGTGGTGACAAACAAGTAAAACTGTAACATGTAGGATACTGATACCAAGTTTCATCCAGACTGAATTACTACTGCTGAATTACTGCTCTGGTAAGATCCCTCTGTGATTTTTAATTGTCTTTATTTTGCAGAGCTGGGATCCAGATTTGGCAAAGACCGCAAAAGGCTGGGCAAAGAAATGCATATTCGAGCATAATATCTACCTCAAAGAGCCAGGGAAAGCTCACCCCAACTTCACTCCTGTTGGAGAAAACCTGTGGACGGGCTCATTGCAGATTTTTACTGCAAAACAAGCCATCACCTCTTGGTATAATGAGGTCAATGACTACACTTACGAGACCAATAGCTGCAGAAGAGTGTGTGGCCATTACACGCAGGTAGGTATTGCATTTCACCCCTAACCATAAGGACGTGTTGCT